ATATATATATAAATGGTTATGGAACCTAGAGTAAGTTTTCATTGCAAGTGTCAGGAGAGATTTGGAAGTTCATTTAGAATGAAATAGTAGCTTTTTCAAATGATACCTGCATATAGTTAATCAATCATGATAAATTTTAATACATTTATATCTGTACGTTTTACTGCAAATCAAGAATTTAATTAAATTTTAGGAACCTTTATGAAATGAATAAAGTACTGTTTAACACTTACTTTCAACTCATGACTTTGAATTGAATTTTCATCATTGATTGAAGGGCATTCGAAGCTGCTTAATGAATTATTTTCTATTTCAACAGCTGTATGGTTGACCATTGCCACTATCGCTTCACTCAAAATAACTCTCATTGCAAAGGTGTTAAAAACTCCCAAGAATGCGAGGAAAACCAAAATGTATCTCTTAGGTAAATACAAGTAGCATTCACCTAAAAATTAATATATATATATAAACATTTGATACGTTTTATTTTTTACTTAATGTGTTCTATTTTCGTTTAAAATCTTTTGGTGATCCTTACACTATTGTATTGATACATATTGGTTTGGCTATATTAATACAAAAATAGAAAGCACTTCTTTACAACATATAATACAAAAATAGAAAGCACTTCTTTTTGCGGATACAATTGTGCGAGCTGATGACGAGATTATATCTTTACATTATTTTGTTTTCCGCCTTTTTAATTATTTTTTTAAATAATTTTTTTAAATATCTTTTAAAAATATTTTATTTTAATAACTTTTTTTCTTCTCTTTACATTAATCTTTATTATATTATTTTCACGTTTTCTCCATATTTTAAATTTATAAATATATACAGTTAAAGTTTCAACAAAAGACAAAAACATTGTGTAACTGAGGACATATTTTGCATTACTTTCTAATCATTCTCTTGATATTTGTAACCATTAATTTCTTGCAAAAGTTAAACCTAGACGTATTCAACCCTTTTCCCATCCAAATTTAATTATTTATCTTGAATGTATGTAATAATTCCAATTGAATGAAACACACACAACATAACTCAGTGAGTCACTAACACTAACCTTTGAAACACCAATATTCTAAAAATGGAAAATTTTGTATTAAGCTAATATTTCGACTTTAAAAGTCTAAAATAAAATTTGAATTTAATGTCTAACAGAGGATTATATTATCCCTTTAATAGCTCGTAAGCATTGTAGTAGTGCTATACATACATATATATATATATATACATGCCCTCATATTTTACCTTTTTCGGAAAGCCAATTAGGCAATTGAAAATTTTGAAAACTTACCCATTTTCATTCGACCTTCAGCTAAATGTAATCAAGGCGATAAATATTATGCAAGAAAATTATTCAAATCTACAAAATATGATCTATAAGTTTTGACATAGAATGATAAGTAGGAAATAATACTTGTCCTATTGAGAAACGGAAACAATTATAAAGCATATTTTCCGACATTTTACGACCTTACACCTACTTCACATACCATGAAATTTATTTATCTTTATTACTTTGTTTTGATAATGCATGAATTACACATTGTGTTCTAGGCGAATTTTATTCGAAAATAAATCTCGGTCAGAATTAAGAATATTTAAAAGTTTCCAATCCCATTTATGTAATTTTGCTTGGAAGTAAATGTGGAGTTCTCTTGATAGTACTATACCCTTTTTACCCTTCCCGTAAAAATCTCAAAGCATTACTTAACGGGCTTGTAAGTCCAGAAAAATTAACTGCTTGTAAGTTATTTATATAGTAATTAATAAGAGCATATATTACAAAACTTCACTTCAATATTACGATTATCTGAATTAATTCAAATAATGAAGTGAGGGCAGCGAATAAGGTTTGAATGGATCAGGGGATAAAGCGTTCGCTTTTCAGTGGGGAGAACCAGGTTCGAATCCCAGAGATGACTTGTCGAGACGAATCTTAGCATCCGACTTGCACAGACCACAGTGCCGACGTAATATATCCTCAGTGGTAGATGGATCATGAGTTTGTGTTCCCTTGCCGTCAGTCTAACCGTGGGAGGTTTCCGTGGTTTTCCTCACTAGATAACGTAAATAGTTTCATCAAAAATTCCTCCATGAATGCGAATTTTTTCCCTATACCTGATCCATGAGTTCACTTGTCTTCTGGATTGGGTGCAAGACCACAAGGCTGCTAAATTAGAAGCCGTAAACGCAAAAAATTGGGTCGGTTGTTCAGCAACAGTTATAAAATTAAATAAAATACTCAAGTGAAAAAAATTGTAAGAAAAATAACGTTTAATAATAATAATTTTTGTAATGTATTAAAACTATCTTAAGTGCAGTTGCATTTCTTTCAAACAATCAGGAACAAAAATTGCACATGAAAATTTCATTCAAACATAAACTGTCTCTTAGAACTCTAAAAATAATTATTTTTTCAAGTAATGGCACAGAATACACTTATTTAGTTTCATTAGAAATCTTACACAATTTGAGTCGCTTTGAAACAACAATTTCATTTGTGAAGGAAACTAACTTAATATGTGATCAAAATTATGAAACTAAAATTTACAGAAGAATTCCTTGAAAATAATTTTAATTTGCTTTTTTTAATAACACTTTCACGCCGGGGTGACCCACCAATGGGTCACGCTAGATTGTCTCATCGACGGCGCACCGGAGTAAAAACTGGTAACAAATAAATTTCATTTTTTAGTTTTTTTCTGGGAATAATAAAAATCTATAACTACCAATTGTTTTTAACGGATGCAATTTTTATATTGAATTGCTTTTTCGCCATGATAAATTTCCTTACAGCGAATTGTTATTGTTGAGAATAGATTAACTCAGTAGTCGGCAAAGTGCGGCGCTGGCACAAATATCCACGGAAGGCGCAATAATAATTTCATTTAAAAAAAAAACTTGGTAAGAAAAAAATTACATCTCATTTTGATAAATTAATCCGAAGAGCTATTTCGGGATTTTAAGAACAAAGCAGATATTCTGAAAACAGTAAAAGAGGTACCATTGTCTGCCAAAACCATTAAAGATAGAACAATTAAAATGTATTCGAATATAACCACCCAGCATATCGAAGATCTGAAATTTATTTCGGCTTAATCAATTGCAGTTGACGAGTCTTATGACATAATGATACGCAAGTTTCACTTTCTGTAAGATTTATGTCTCATTCTGGCCCTAAAGAAGAACTTTTAGGATTATTGTCACTCAAAGGTCAGACGGGTGGAGAGGTCAGAAGATATCACAAATGCTGTAATTGAGTGTATGGAAAAACATCATATTCCCCTCGATAAAATTGTGTCGATTTCAACAGATGAGGCCAGAAGTATGATCGGCGTAAGAAAAGGGTTTGTTGCTATATTGAAAGAAAAAATTAAATCACGAGATACTTGTTTACCATTGTCTCATTCACTCATGCGCAAACATTTCCGGATGAAATTTGTAAAGTTATGGAATTAGTGATTACCATTATCAACTCCATATTAGCTAAAGCTCTTAATCATCGCCAATTCAAAGAATTTTTAATTGAAATGGAGAGTGAGTACGCTGATCTTCTGCTTCATAACAAGGTACGTTGGTTATCAAGAGGGAACGTTTTAGAACGTTTCGTGTTCCTTTTTCCGGAAATTAAAGCATTTCTCCTTGANTTTTTATTTGAAATGGAGAGTGAGTACGCTGATCTTCTGCTTCATAACAAGGTACGTTGGTTATCAAGAGGGAACGTTTTAGAACGTTTCGTTTCCCTTTTCCCGGAAATTAAAGCATTTCTCCTTGAGAAGGGAACTATCCACTATCCAGAACTAACAGACGATCTGTGGATCCAAAACTTTAATTTCATGGTAGACGTTACGTCTCATCTAAATCAGCTAAATCGTAAACTACAAGGGAAAGGAAACTTAATTTTTTCGATGTTACAAGAAGTAATAACATTTGTTAAGAACTGCCACGAGGCGGCGCTCATATCATATAACACATTATTGTTCAGTTGCCATTCAACTCTTGAACAGGGAACATCCCCCTGTTACTCAAAATGATCTTCTCAATTTTATGTTATTAAGTTTCAAAATAAATGTTTATGTTTGTTACAGTCCGCTACTTTATAGCTCAATATATCACGAACACTAAACAANCTTACGATCAGCTGAAAAAGCTCGCGTTTGCTGTTCTTTCCCTTTTCGGTTCTACATATATATGCGAACATTCTTTTTCAAGCATGAACATTATCAAGAGTAAACTGAGAAGTCGTCTGATGAGAACTTGGAATCATGCCTAAAATTAAAAACAACAACATACAAACCTGACTTACTCAAACTTTCCAAGGAGATGCAAGCACATTGTTCGCATTAATAAATATTTATTAAGTATGGAATTTAGTTTTATTTAGTGTACTACTCATTTAGTGTAATAAAAGTTTACTAAACAAGCACATTTGGCTCCCAATTTTTTTAAAATTGTTGTTTTGTTCATATTTGGCTCTTTGGCTAATAAGTTTGCCGACCACTGGATTAACTCCTCTCGAATATTATCTAATATTGAAATAGTTCTTCTGCCAGTTTTTTCTCTTTTCCGTCCCGCTTTCAGGCGCAACACCCGGCGTGAACGTGTTAAAACAAAAACTTGGGTTAGTTAAATACTTGCTTAAATTCTTGCTTACATTATATACAGGGTGCAGAAAAAAATCAGGGCTGAAAGTCAATATATATCAAGACGGAAAAGAGTAAAAACTGGTAACAAATAAATTACATTTTTAGCTGTTTTTCGGGAACAACAAAATGACCATAACTACCAAATTTTTTTAGCGGATACAATTTATATATGAATTGCTTTTTCCCCCTATAAAAAAATTAACAACAATGAATTGTTTATTGTTAAGAATAGATTTATTCCCCCCGAAAATTATCTGTTATTGAAATAGTTCTACTACCAGTTTCTTCTCTTTTCCGTCTCGCTTTAAGGCCTGGAAATAATGGAAACACATCTGCACTATAACATTATTTCATATTTTTCTAGAAATATTTAAAGAATCATTTTGTAACTTCAGAAGTGCTTAGATTATGCGATTTCTTCTTATGCTTATCAATGAAATTTTAAAGTTTTCAGAGGTTTAAGGGACCAACAATGAAAGACAAACAGGAAATAATGTTTTTGAACATACTATGACCCAATATTTAGCAATATATTTGTATCTTGTAAAAATTACTTTGTTTATTATATTCAATAATTACAAAAAGTTTTGTATGCCTAGCTTAAATATTCATTGTGATATGGACATTTTTATAAAAAAAAAAAAACTAATTTTTTCTTGCTATAACAAAAATTATTCAATAAATTAGAAGAAAATTTTTAGAGCAATTTAAAATTAATTAAAAAAATTTGCTTTAAAATTTGTATCATGAATTTGTTGAAAACTGTGCAATATATAAGTAAATAAATTAGTTCTGTTGTACTGTGCATACTCGGAAAAAATTTAAACATTTTTTTTAATAATTTTGCAGTGAATCATATTTAGAACCTAATGAAAGAAGTCCAATTTGAATATCTTAAAACTTTAAAAAGTTTCAAGCTATTTTATAAGTAGTGTTTGTAACTCTTAATAGAAACTCAAAATGATAATTGTGTTTTCTACGAATAACATTGTAATATTGTAAAGTGTGAGGGAACGAGTTATTTTTTAAGGATAGAATTTTTTTTAATGATACGAGAATTACGTTATTGAATGGGCATGTTGGTACTTCATTTGCGTCTCACTAGAGCTGTACAATGGTCTATTGGTGACGTTCAAGGGAACACCCCTGGGGATGATCCGTAGACATGTCATCACAATTCACAGGGCTGCCAACTTTCAACGCTTTTAGTAAAAATTTATTCCAGTGGTAGCTAAGTAATGGTAGCATGTTTCAATGTGTATTATTTTTTATTCATTTAAACTTATTTTTCACACCACTACATATAAAAGATTTAAAAGTTCATATTCAATGCCACTTTGTTACAGGTCTTTACTGGTAAAACTTTTAAAAATTTGCCAAAATTACCAAAAATTCTGAAAGCTTTGATTTTTAAACATCTACTACTCCTTAAAATATTTTACAAAAAGCATAGTAGTTGGCAGGCGTGAATTCGGCAGACTTCTTCATTAATTTAGACATAGATCTAATGGGGAAGGAATGTTTTCTTCAGATCCCTGTACCCATCGTACTGCTCACCGACTTATCACGGGACTTTCGATTCCATTCGAGCACATATATTGCATGGGTCTTAGCGGAGTCGAGGATCAAACAAACCCCATCACCACCAAACCGGAGTTCAATTCTCTTACAACTGGACTACCACTGCTTCCTACCTTAGATGTAGCTAAGGTATAATCAGTATATATATATAGTATGACATACCATCACAACTTTGACCCCGTGCAGAGGAGATGACTCCTCCGCTTTGGTAGCCTTACACCGGTAGAACAGTTACGGTAGAACAGTTTAACGAGGACAATCCTCGGGTCTTACGCAGACTGATCAAAGTGGTCATTCACTAGCTTACAGACAGATGTTAGTGATGCTTGACTTCCGTTGTTCTACTGGGGGACATGTCATTATCTGAATACCTCCGGGTATCGGGTTACGTTTTTACTTTGAAGAAAGAAAATCCGCTTTAAGGGTGACTAGATGGAGCCTAAATGAAAATTTCTACCGTTTCTATAACAATAGAAATGAAAAATTTGAGTCTTATAATGATAAGCCACATTTATAAATCTTTCAGAAATTGTTTTTGATTTTCAAAAGATAGTATAATTTTAATCGACGTAATAAGACGTTTCTGTTTATTTCATACCACTTGCCGATACCAGCGAGCCTGTCATGGGAAATCAAGCAAATTTAAGGAAGAGGGATGCATTTCTTGCTTTTCAGTGGCGCCATCTATGAACAAGAATTTTATTTATCCCCACACACGTCACAGCCAGTTTCGCAGGGAGGACCCACTCATTCTCAAATCATTCACCCACAGATCGTAATTTTTCGCAAAACCAGAAAACGGTCAATCTCTAATTCAGTACCCCCAGAGGTATTGATTTGCTGTGGGAACTTGGAGGACTCTGTGACTCCTAAAGATTTTACGTTTACAAGTCTATATTGAATAAATGGGGATTCTTTGACCTAGAAATAGAAACTCACGATCTCATGAACAAGAGCACAACGTCCATCCAACCAGGCTATCTCCGGAGGTAATAAAACGTTTTCGATTATTATCTGATAATCTTGGAGCAAAGCGTTAAGTATGGCAGTATCGTGATTACTATAATTTATTGCAGCCATCGAATACGATAATATCGTTATTATTATCGAAAATATATTTAAAAAAAATCGCAAACTTAGTGATAATTCTTGAATAAAATTTTATTGAAAGCGTTCTAAATTTTATTTATATAGCATGTATATTGACTAATGCGAAACTAATAAAAATTAGTTTAATGAAAAAAATAACTTGATATATTTTCAAGTATTCATATTTTTGACAATAAATCGTTATTGTCAACAATAGTATGGTTTTTAAATATATAAAATATTTTTGTAAAATATTTTGCAAAGTGGTGGTTTATTAAAAACCAAAGCTTTCAGAAATTTTCGTAAGTTGTCCAACATTTTAAATAAACCTCATTACGTAGGAGAGTTAAAAAAGTGGTGTTGCATATGAACTTTTAAATAATTTATATGTAGTGCATTGGAGAAAAAGCTTAAATGAATGAAAATTATACACTTAAATATTAACTCTGCTACCACTGGAATTAAGTTTTACAAAAAGTGAAGAAAGTTGGCTGCCCTGCAATTTACATCACTACAAATTGTGCAATCGCAACGTCAGCGGAAAATGGGTAATTATAATTTTAAGGAATTTACTAATAACGCTCATCAAATTTTTACAATTACAGTTCTCTAGCATGGGTTCACCATGCACGAATCATTCAAATACGACTCAATAGTGCCCATGTTTTATGTTCATATTCAAATTAGTGAATTCAAAAATAAATGATTACATTAGTTTACTTACAAAATGATCATATGATATACATTTTATTCCAATGAAGTGAAAAACTTGGGGGGAAATAGTGATAAGCCACTCTTTATTGAAGGACAGGTATATGTTACTGTGAATAACCGAAATTGGTGGTTGTTTACTCCCACTAGTGAATGTTGGCAATCACATAGTCTCTTAGGTAAATGTCCTAAAAATATATACTAGGTCTACTGCCCGGTATACATTTAACCGGTACTTCGAACACTGACGTTTCTCCTATTAAAATATCGGATAAATATAATAATATCAACGAATGAATTATATCCAATCGGATATAACAAATATTTCGGACATTCACCAAAGTGACTATGCGATTGTCAACATTCACCGGTGAATGTCGATTTCGGTTATTCACGATAACATATTTACAAAGTTTACATTAATATGCGTCCAGAAAGGTATTTTTATAAATATTTACAATTTCCACTACAATTTACACTATACACAGAGAAACATCATACTGCCTGTAGAGAACTCGTACAGTGTCTTGAATAATCTGAAAACCGTTTTCTTTCCTTACGTTGCTCGTTGTTATTCAAGTGGTCGGCATTCCACGCAATTCGACTTCAATTTGGCTGGAATCACCACACTGCACTCTTCACAATGCACACGAAACAATCGATGTCACTAGATTCCACACAAATGATGAAATTTTATTTTCTACTGATTGATAAAATTGTGGTTTCATTTTTCAGCTTATAAATTTTTATTGTCCTCTTACTTCTGTCCCTTAATCATGAAGTTTCCAAAGTGTGTCTACCACTAAATCTCTACTACATTACTGGTTCTGTACCAGTTGCTTTGATTACTGGAAGTGAGTTTCTTAATGTTTTTAAAATATATTCAACTATATTCATTTGTTCGTGTGTCTTCATTAATAGATTTTTCATATTGGGATTCTGTTTTTTCCACACTCTTTACTTTGGCCCAGGGTTGTAGCTCCGCAGATCCGAATATGGCGAATATCCCACCGCAGAATATATAAGACGCTGTTGCAGTATAGAAAACTTTACTCCAGTTGTCTATTGTTTGCTGAAAAATAAATAGATTAATTAAATATTTATAGGTCATGACATTATTGATGGATTACAGACAGAGAAATGAAAGTATTTGGAAATGAAAGTTTACTCGTTAATGCGCACTTTTTTTCTTGCCTTTTTCTGACGCTTACTTTAAGATAGATAAGTGGGAAGAATCATCCACATAGATTAATGCTTTTTTTTATTTTAATCTGGATAGATCTGCGAAGAAAAAAAAATATCCTACATAGATTTAAATTTTTTTTAATTATAAAGCAGATACTTCTACTGGAAGAAAATGTCTTATAAATTGGAACTTTGTGTTAAAATCTAGACCTAAATCTGAGTAGGTTATCCCATGTTGATGATGTTGATGATAAAAAAATAAGAAAGACATGCGAGGCGAATATATCATATAATTTATATTTTTTTAATTATAAACGAGAATAAATTTCGTATAATGTTTTTGCAGCAGCTGATTAAAACTTATTCCTAAAATGTTTAAAATCTAATTTCCTGTAATGTTTAATCAATCACGGAGCACAGTCATAAATTTTTTTCTCTTAGATAAATGTTCCCTTTGCACTTAGATATGTTTCTTTTCTCTATGTAATTCTTTTCTCTATTTATTTTCTCTATTTCACTAATAATAAACTATCTTAGAGACTTGGTGGGATTATTCATTAACTAACAAGTGAAAAATAGAAGGATTATATAATGAGTAATTGTAACAACCATTATGGAAATTAATTATTTGATTGTATCATTGTTGAGGCTTACGTTTACTACTGCTAGTTAGAAGCGTATTTTTGCGAGCAAGCGGTTTACTAATTACTGGCAGATAATCTTTTATTTATTAGAGTTGATAATATATAAGTTTTTTCAATAAGTACCTATTACCAAAATTTACTTATCAATGGCTTCAAAAATAGTTTAACGATTTTTTACAAATCTTTTTAATTAATTAGCATCATTTATCCATTTCTTTTATTTTTAATATATACACATCACTAACGGGATATAACGTTCTCCATCCTATAAAGTGAACCGTGTTCGTATCCATCGATGGATGATCGATACAAATTCCGCATCCAGCTTGCACCGACCTGACGTACAATATCCTCGAAGATAGACGAATCATTGGTTATAGTCTCCTAGCTACAAGACTACCCTTTGGAGGTTTTTGTGATTTTCCTTTCAGCGTAACGCAAATGCGGTTTAGTTACATAAAAAAGTCCTCCATGAAGGCGAATTTCTCCAAATACTTCATCCAGGTCCCTTGTCTTCTGGATTGGGTTCAAAGATACAAGGCTACGGCTTTGAGCATTAGTAGTCGTAAACCCAAAAATTGGGTCGGCTGTTCAGCAACGGTTTTAAAATGAAATGTGACCACCTTCTTTTGACGCCAAAGTGAAATAACCAATTATCGAAGGCAGGTACATTACAGTAGATCGTTTATAAAGGATGTCCCCGGAAATCGGAAAACATTATAATAATGGGGCTAATGTAAAAAAAAAGAGATTTATACAACGTCTAAACGGCTATGACCACTGACTTTTCGGTCAAGGGAAGAGGCAATTCCTGATCGGCTGATTTTGTAAACTGTTCTCGAACCGCTGTGGTATGAGTATACCATGCCTAGCAAAATGTACTGTCCACAACGTAACAAGCGTAACAGACGCGGTGTAAAGCAGGCAAAAGAGAACATAGGTGGACAGTAGCTGAAGATAGGAACAGTGTGTGTAGAATATAAATAATGTGTTTAAATTTAGAAAATGTAGTACTGAACAAATTTAAACTATTTATCTTTGTCCAATGTAGATTAAAAAAAACTGATATATATATATATATATATAGTAAATTACTTAGTAAATTACTTACTTTATTAACTTTCAAGAATTTTGAAAGCTCAAAAACTAGCTATATATAATGACAAGGCGACGGAATTGAACATTGCTGGTCGTTAACTCAAAATTGGGTCGGCTGTTCAACGAAGGATATAAAAAAAA